GTGTGTGTGTGTGTGGAAGAAAATAAAGTGATAAGAAACTTCTGGGTCTTCTTGTTTATTAGTTGATAGTTCCTTTTTTTTTCCATTTTTAGGGGTTGAGGGAAAAAGGAAAAAAATAAAAATAAACTGAAAATAAAATAAACAAAAAAAAACATAAGAGTCAGAGTCGTATATTACACACACACACAAGTATATATATATATATATATATATATACGTATATATTTGATTGCAGGTATAGGCATCTGCATTCTATTCCCTCTTTCTTCCCCTCTCCCTCTCTCTCTCTCTCTCCATATCTTTATTTATCTATCTATATACATTACATCACAGTACAGGCAGCAGCAGCAGCAGCATGATGATGATGTTAATGAGAAGGATGAGAAGAAATGAGAATGAGAACCATTCACCTCTACCAACCCCTCTTCTAACAGGGAAATGGAAAAGGAAAAAAAAGAAAAGAAATAAAACAATTGAAGTGAAAAAGAAATTAAAAGAAAAAAAGAAAAAAAAAGATACCTGTCAGGGGGATGATGAATTCTAAGAAAGGGAGGTTGGAGCTGCAGAAAAGGAAATAAAAATAAAAAATAAAAAAAAAGATCTAAAAAAAAAAAAATGAGCAAAACAATATAACAGAAAGAAGAAAAAAAAAGAGATTATTAATATGAGAAGAAAAATACGAAAGAAAAAAAAAAAGAATAAAAAAAAATTTTTTTTTTTCTGGGGTCTTTGGGTGGGGGTTATCTAATATGGTATCATTTGTTTTTTTTTTTTGTTTTGTTTTGAAGAACATTTGAATGAATGTGTCTTTGCATGGAAACAACAACAACGCGAGTAGAAATGTACTCAAGGAATTAGTGGCAAAAAGGCAACAACAATACTAGTAACAACAATAACAACAACAACAACAACAATAATAATAATAATAATAATAATAAACGGAATGAGTAAATGTGTGGAAAAGAGAAAAAAAAAGAAAAACAAAGGTAGAAGTGAGTTTTAAGAGAATAAGTAGAGATAAAAAAAAAAAGAAAGGGAACCATCGGAAATGAGAGTGCGTAAAGAATGTCAAAAAAAAAAAGGGGGGGTGGATATGTACATTGTAAGGAGTTGCATGGAATCCATTGTAATTTGTCTCTTCTTTTTGCCCTATACTTTATACGACTAATGATCTTTTTTTTAGTTTTTTTTTTTTTTTTCTCTTTTGGTTCCTATTGTATTGATTATATTTATTTCCTCGTGATTTTATTTTTCTTTCTTTGTTGTTGTTGTTTGCGTATTTATTAGTTTGTTTGTTTGTTTGTGTACTACTACTGTTGCCGTTGCTGCTATAACTATTACTGCGGTTGTTTTTTTTTTCATGAGAGGAAAAAGAAAAGAAAAAAGAGACATTCTTGCATATATATATATATATATATATATATATATATATATATATATATATGATCTACCAAACAAAGAAACAATGAGCCTTATATCATTTATTTATACATACATACCGTTGCGTATTATATGTACAGATAATATATTACATTGGTATGCAAGTGGGTAGATTGCGTATACACATTCCCTTTTCTTTCTTTCTTTCTTTCTTTCACTAAATAAAGAGTGCAGTAAATAGTGTAGATATTACAAAAAGAAGAAGAAGAAGAAGAAGAAGAAGAAACAACAAAAAAAAAAAAAGAAAGGAGAAGTAGTATTTCCACAATGACGGACGCCCTTTCTGGTCTATCCCCCGAGTCCCGTGCGATTATCTCTTCTTATCAGCAATGGTCCCGTCTCGCCTATGATAGTCTACGCCGCAATGTCCACTTGGATGCCAGCAACCATCAAGTGGGGAATATCCTGCAGGAAACTTATACACGAGAAGAAGTGAAGGCAATCATCACAGCTCACACCGCCGTGTTGCTGCACTCATTGGATACACAAATGCCACTATTCACATCCACCACCAGTGCGTTATTATATGCCATCTTGCGGGATGCCGATCGGCAACGAACCACAATTGAAATTGATGCCAATGCCGTCCTCTCATCTGCCTCTAATAATAATAATAATAATAATAATAATAATAATAATAATAATAATAATAATAATAATAATAATAATAATATGAATGCTAGTAATAGTACGCTTACGCCTCTTAGTGCTATGGCCAACACTGCCACTATCACTACTGCCGCGGGGAATGTTAGTATGAATGGTGGTTTATTAGATGAACAGGCATCACGATTACTGAGTGGACCACGTGGCCGCCTCGCACCCCTCACAGTTGCAGATGCCGCCGGCGCTGCGCAGGTGCAACTCGCAGAGGCAAACGCCGAAGTACGGCGACTGCAGGAGAAACTCCATCGACTCAGTGATGAATACACACGTGTAATGCAGAACCGCACGACAGAGGCAGAAGAGTTCCGCAACATGCGGGATATACTCGCCTCCGCCACTACTACTACTACAGCAGCAGCAACAGCAACACAGGTGCCGCAGGATGAGGGTTTACAGCAAACAGTGCAGCAACTGCGGGCAGAAGTGGCCGCGGTTCGACAGGAACTCAACGCGCGGTTGAGTCAATCCACACAATATCAACAGTTGAAGAAAATATTGGCTCAGAAGAATGAGCAGATTAAGACTATGCGGTCTAGACTTATGCAGTACGATCCGGCCTTCTTAAATCACGGCGGTGGTGGGGATGTGGTAGAGGCGGAGGAGATGGATCTGTGAAGATAACGTCTGTGTTTGTTTGTTTGTTTGTTTGTTTGTTTGTATAGATCTATCGGGTGTGAAGGGAAGGAGAGAGGAGAAGGAGAAAAACACAGAACAAAACAAAAGAGAAAGGGGGGAGAAGAAGGGAATTGTGTGTAGGAGCGTAGGAAATGAGGAATGCCAGTGGGGGGATAAAAGGAGAAGCACACAAAGAGAAAGTGAAAAAGAAAAAAGAAAAGAAAAGAATGATTATTGCAAAACAAGTCCCACATACAAAAGGAAAGAAAAAAAAAGGAGAGAACGGAGCATATATATATATATATTTGTGTGTGTAAATATGTATGAATGGATTGATCCATTCCGTGTTACTTTCTTTTTTTTCCGTCTGCTATTCTTCTTCTTTCTTCTTTTTCCCATCTCGGTTGTGTTTCTTTTTTTTTTTTTTTTTTCTCTCTCTCTCTCTTTGTATGAATGGTATTAAACAATAGGAAGAATTCATAGTGTTTTGTGTGTTTGTACATCTACAGCACGCAGCGGAAGAATTACGAACTCTGCCTGCACTCAAATCCACATTACTTACATTACTTATATTGCATACCTACTCGACGGATATAACTATTAAAGAGCATATATATATATATATATATATATATAGCTATAGAAATAGACTGCATATAGGAGCTATCCAGTGTCCATCCCCCCACCCCACAGAGACTGAGAGGGGGAAAAAAAAGGAAGAAAGAAAAAGTATAAATTACTTTATTTGTTCTTCTTATCATTTCTCTTGTATCTTTCGTTTCATTCCGATTTCTACTCCTCTGATGAGTAGCGGTGGGGCAGTTGGCAATATTGGACTCACGGCCGTACTCGCCGGTTTCGCGGTGGTACTCTCCGCCGTTACATTCATTGCAAATAAACGCCGCTCCAACGAAACACACACGTCCTGTCCACTCGGAACCTCCGGTGGCTCAACCAACACAACCACAACGAACAGCAGTAATCGTAATAACAACAAAAATAATAATCATAATCATAACATCACAGCAGGCAAAAAAAGTGGATCTATATCGGGAGTAGGAGCAGGACCCAAGTCCTACTATGCAGTGCGGGCGGAGCGTCATGTGCGTCCACACAGTGGAACAGCTGTGGAATGGCGTGATGATGTATTAGGTGTGCGTATGCTCTTCTCGCCTATACTCTTCGCTGTGGAGACGGAAGAACGACAAGCCCCATTGGTGCTTGTGGGATTGCGGTACTTACGTCAACCTGAACACCGTGTGGCAATCACTATAGAGGAATGTATACTTCCACCCCTTCCACCTTCTACACCTCTCCCTGGTGTGGCTCCTACAATGGCAATGGCAATGGCCATAACGGCGACCACAACTACATCACCAGCTATGGCTGGTAATACAGCTGCTGCTAATATCAATACTGCTGCTACCAATACTACAGTGGCAACATCATCGACGACGACTACTGCTACTACTGGTGGTAATAGTAGTAGTGGTGGTACCAGAATTAGTACGGGTGCTGCTGCTGTTGGCACTAGTAGTAGTAGTAGTAGTACTAATATTACTAGTGCTGGTACTGCTGTTATGCCTACTATTGCTACCGTTGTTGGTACTACTAATACTACTAATACTATTACTACTACTACTACGGCTGGTACTACTACAGGCCCTACGGCTTCCACCATTATTAATCCTGCGGCTACTCCAACCCCGACTATGACTACGGGTGTGAGTGCTGCCAACAACAGTGGATCCAATCCCAGTATCACTACACCAGCGGAAGAGTATCGTGAGAATAGTCTTGCACGTATTCGTGATTGTGCCAAATTACTTTCCTGCGGCACGACTCGCATTGGCAGTACCTCCCACCCCTGTGCGGAGTATTGCTATATGGATAGCAACAACCGACTGCGCTACGCCCTTTCAGTCTTTCTTACACACGGAAGGTTAGCAATCACAGCACAGTACATTGCCGATACACGTGTGAAGGGTGTATTGCCAACAGCATTTAATGAAATTGTGCGTTCTATTCAATTCTACACACCGCGGCCCACACCATCGTATTTACTCTGCACAGAGCCACGCCTTGGACTTGGTTTTCGTCTCCCACTTGACTTTGTGCTGGACGAACAACTGCGTGAGAGTATCACGGCAACGGATGACACTCTAATGAGTGCCGTCTGTGAGGATGAAGAGAGGGATGTTGTTGTTGGTGGTGGAATGGACGCCTTACGTGGAGAGATGTTGTCTAATGACTTTGTCTCTGGACCTTTCACCCCACAGGACTGGCAGAGACACGGTGGTAATAATAATAATAATAATAATAATAATAATAATAACAATGGTAGTAGTAGTGGTGGTGGTGAAAGTGTGCCGTTTGCGGCTGTTATTGGCCGTGGATTGCGTCGCATGGTTGTGGTTGCGAGTTATGAGTTATTCCCACGAGGACATCTCTCTTGGCAGCCACTCTTTGAACGTCATCTCCGCACAACCCTGGAGCGATTCTCTGTTGTATTCCCACCGTTCACAACAGGAGGAAGAAGAGGGGGATTTCCCCTTACGACTGTGTGGTCTGAGAAGACACCACCGCAGGAAGTGTATGATAAAAGTACGACATTTATTGTTCGACCACAGCAACTCTTTGTGCCTATTCATGGTGATAGTGCTGTGGATGGCAATGCGGGTGATGGAACAGCTGCTGCTGGTGGGATGGGGAGTGGAAGTGGAAGTGTATTAATGCTGGATGGTGCCTTTTGTGTTCAGGAGGTCTGTCTTGATCCCGATAGTGTTTGGGCCATGTACCTGCGTGATACAGAACCAAAACAACAACAACAGCAACAGGGATATAGGGATGATAGTGGAACAGGTGTTGGTGGTATTCCTCATAACTATAATAATAATAATAATAATAATAATAATAATAATAATAATAATAATAATAATAATAGCAGTGGCAATAGCAAGAGTCATGTTAATCATGGTAATACCACTATGAGCACGAGTGATAATAATAATAATAATAAGACTTCATGTAGAGAAACAGGGAAAAGTATTGTAACAGCGTATATGAGTTTCTTCTTTCTGCGTATTCGTGATGCGTATGTGTCCTTTGGCTTTCTTTCCTCCACAACACGACACACATTGGAGGAATTCATCACCTTCTGCCGCCGTACACTTGACACCGTGTCGGTTGGTAATCACTATGGACAAGGCACTTCACTCATTTACTGCAATACACGCCATGAAGTGATGCCATTTCAAATTCTACTGGATCCCGTACGTATGGAAGGCATCACAACAACAACAACAACCGCAGCAGTTGTGGTGGAAGAGACAACAGTGGGCGATCCACTGGCGGTTATTCACATTGGTGGAATGGAACGTATTACGATCTTACTACGTGTATTTCCCTGCCCAGGTGTATCTCAATCTCAATCCCAACCTCAATTACAATTACAACAACAACAACAGCGAAAGTCTATTCCAGCAGTGGCATCATTGCTAGAGCGTGTGGTACAGAACTACCTCACACAACTACCAGAGCGTGTCTGTGTCCATCACTGGGAAACAAGCACCATTGGTTCCCGCACGGTATTAGAGATTCACTATGAACAAGTCATGGATGAAGACGATAGTGATGCCGAGTCCCTCACATTAGATGAAGAAGTTGGAAATATTAATCCATTCGCCCGCTACTGTTCTCTCTGCTGCTGTTCCTCCGCCTGTTGTGGCTGCGGGGATATACCACCACCCCCAGCCACACCTCCTACAGCCACACCACCACCACCACCACCATCATCTTCACAATCTCAATTATCATCTGTATTGCCATTGACTGTACTTTCTTCTTCCTCCTTCACTGCTGCTGCTGCTGCTGCTGCTAACACCACAACAGCAAATTCTACGCCGCATTCGACGAATTCACTGCGGATGCTGCGACGATCACCATCGCGTGATTCCCGCGAAGATGTTGCAACGATACGTGTGGCTGTTGTGGTTTGCTGTGGGGGATGTGCGTTTCTGTTTCTCGCGTCGTCTACATTAGAGCAGCTTAGTGTTGTGCGGCGTACCGTTCGCCAACTCGCTGCTAATCTATCTGTTATGGCAGATACTACCATGTAGTTCTTTTTTTGTTGTTGTTGATGTTTTGTTTGCGGTGTGTGTGTATATATATGTGTTATTGTTATTGTTGTTTCTGGTCCCCTCTCTTATTTGTTTTTCTTTCTTTTTTTTTTTTGTTTGATTTTCTTCTTCATAATCTTTTTTCTTTTTTTTTCTTGTATTCGTGTGTGTGTGTGTGTTGTTTTTGTTGTCTTTGAGGTTTGCTTTGCTCTCTGTTGGTGTTTGTTTGATGTGTGTTCTCGTCGGATGTTTTTTTTTTTTTCTTTTTTTTGTGCGATAACTCTTCCCCACACCTCCACACAGGGTTGCTACTGCCAACTGCTGTGTATGTGAATATATCTATATAGATAAATATAGATTTAGATAGATAGAGAGATAGAGAAAAGTTAATCATAACTATGATTGTTTCCTTTTTTTTTTTTTATGCTTTACTTTCTATTCTCACTATTCTTCTTTTTCTGTTTTGTGTTTGTTTACATTGTAGTCTCCCCATTCCTTAATCCCTTCTTTTCATCACTCTGTGGAAATACAACGAAACGTAAGAACCACAAGAGTAACCATCACAAGGGGATCTAAAACAGTGGGGAAAGAAGAAAGAAAGAAAAGAAAGAAAGAGACACACATACATAGAGATACATATAACTAATATATATATATATATATATATATATATTCTGTGCGTACGGACGTATACCAACTACGACAAGAACAAGAACAGTTCACTATGGCTCTTCTCTCCAATACGTGTATCTTTGCGTTGATGGTGTTGCCCGTTGTGCTTCTCGCAAAGGGTCATCATGTTAACATGCGGCGTCTCACCACACTCGCAGCCATCATCACAGCCTGCCGCATCGCCGAGTCTATCATCATCGCCTCCCTCACAGTCTCCACAACCACAACCACATCAACAACAATGTTGTTCCTGGGATTGCAATACGTTTTTTCAGCGGTGGTATTTCCACTTATGGACACTGCGCTCGTGCACTTTGTGCTAAACGATCAAAAAGCACGTAAACTCTTACACGTGCAGGATGCCGGTGATGATGCTGCCGCTGTCTTTACTACTATGTGGACAGTGGTGGATTTGTTGCTCTACCGCTGGTTCCGCTGGTATCGTGTTATTGGTAGTGCCGGCTTTGATGCGGCGAACCTCTACTCCGCAGCGGAGGCGTTTGTGGGACTTCTCACTATTCTACTCGCAGCAAGATGCATTAACGGCCGAGGTGGGAATAATAATAATAATAATAATAATAATAATAATAATAGTAATAGCAATAACAGCAGTAAGAGCAACAGTAGCAATGACAGCAGTCAAGATCATGTGTGGATTGTTGTTGCTTTATTGCGTATGGTGGCAACAACGGCTGGTCTGGTCTTTGGCATGCCGTTATTCGGAGGTTTTATCAACACTTTGTTCTTGTTGGTCCTGTTCTGCTTTTTTCTCTCTCCAGCTAACAAGAACCACAAGGAGGATTAACACATGCATACAAGGATGTGTGAGGTGAATAAAAAGGAAAGGAAGGAAAAGGAATACATCGATGAGAATCCAAGAAAAAAAGAACGAGAAAAAAAAGAGAAAAAGAAAAAAAAAAAGAAAGATGGATAGGGAGAGAAAAAAAAAAAGGAAAGAAAGGAGGAAGTAGGATAGGTAGGTAAGAAGTATTTATGCAAGGTTCACCTCCGCGTCTGTCTGTGTATATGTGTGTGTGTGTATTGGATTGGTAATTCTGATTTGAATAACGAGAGTAGATGGGAATAAAATCACAACTACTTGAACGAACATCGAACCCTCAAAACATAACAAGATCAAAAAAACAAAAGAAACTATATAACCACTGTAATGGTATTTTTTTTTTTTTTTT